TGGGTGGGGATGGATTAGATAGATACAGGGGCTGCGTCTAGACTGACATGATTTTCCGGAAATGCTTTTAACGGAAAAGTTTTCCTTTAAAAGCATTTTCGGAACAGAGCATCTAGATTGGCACGGACGCTTTTCCACAAAAGAACTTTTTGCAGAAAAGCGTCCGTGCCAATCTAGACGCGCTTTTCAGCAAAAAAGCCCCAATCGACATTTTCGCGATCGGGGCTTTTTTGTGGAAAACAAATCTGAGCTGTCTACACTGGCCCTTTTGCCCAAAAGCTTTGCGCAAAAGGGACTTTTGCCTGAACGGGAGCAGCATAGTATTTCCGCAAGAAGCCCTGATTTCTTACAGTAGGAAGTCAGTGCTTTTGCGGAAATTCAAGCGACCAGTGTAGACAGCTGGCAAGTTTTTCCGGAAAAGCGGCTGATTTTCTGGAAAAACTGGCCAGTCTAGACACAGCCTCAGTGTGTGGGGCTAGATAGATAGATCGATTTCATAGGGATGGATGGAAGGATGGATGGATGGGCTGTATGGGAATAGACAGACAGACAGATGAAAGACATTCTGGATATGGTATAGAATCGCAGAATCATAGAACTGGAAGGGATTTTGAGAGATCATCAAGTCCAGCCCCCTGCCCTCACAGCAGGACCAAGCACCGTCTAGACCATGGGTTCCCAAACTGGGGGGGTGTGAAGAAATTCCAGGGGGGGGCAGGAGGCGACCTAGTCCCCCCCCCCACACACCATTCCCTCCCCCCAAGTTTTGCTGCTATTTTTGTTTTTCAGCACCGGTCAGTTCCTTTATTTTTTTGCTCAACAAATTTTGCTGCTGTTTTGGGAGGGGGGGGGGAGGATTTCTCAAACATCAGAAAGGGGGCATGATACCGAAAAGTTTGGGAACCACGGATCTAGACCATCCCTGACAGGTGTTTTCCAACCTGCTCTTAAATTTCTCCAGCGATGGAGATTCCACAACCCCCCTTGGCAATTTATTCCAGTGTTTCACCACCCTGACAGGTCGGAAGTTTTTTCTAATGTCCAACCTAAACCTCCCTTGCTGCAATTCAAGCCCATTGCTGCTTGTTCTGTCCTCAGAGGCCAAGGAGAACAAATTTTCTCCCTCCTACTTGTAACACCCTTTTAGGTACTTGAAAACCGCTCTCCTGTCCCCTCTCGGTCTTCTCTTTTCTAAACTAAAAAAGCCCAATTCTTTCAGCCTTCCCTCCTAGCTCATGTTTTCTAGACCTTCCATCTTTTTTGTGGCTCTTCTCTGGACCTTCTCCAATTTCTCCACATCTTTCCCGAAATGCGGTGCCCAGAACTGGACACAAGACTCCAACAGAGGCCTCATCAGCGCAGAGCAGAGCGGAAGAATGACTCCTTGTGTCTTGCTCACAACACTCCTGTTCAGAATCAGGTTGCTTTGTCTATCTTAGGCCTCTCCTGCACCTTAAGCTTTGATCAACCTAGCAACATGCCTCAGGCTGGGAACCGCGCAGCGCCCCGGAGATGCACAGTGCAGCTGATCTAACCCCCCAGGACAGAAACTGCCAGGTGGACGGAAGAATTCTTTTTGCCACTTCTCAAGTGGGTGGGTGAAGCAGAGGAAGGGGGAAAAAACCCTCTGTCAGCACAGAAGACATGTGTAGACATCCCGGAAGGGAACCCCAGGGACTAGCCCCGTGCTTGATTCCTGGGGGGGGGGGGGCCTGGTAGCCGGGTTGAACTCCCTGCAGTGGGCTGAGGTCAGAGAGCAAGTAGATGCACGTGTCAGGCACACAGCCCAGATCCCGTGTCAGCCAGGCTTGTGCTCTAACCACTAGACCACCCTCCCTCGCTCGGTATGCTTCTGGAGAACTTCTGCATGTTGATGGATACATTTGGCCAGGAGCTGAGATTTGCTGAGTGTCTGCAACTCTCCCAGAAGTCAAGGGGCTCAGCTCCTCTCCGCGTTAGGCCTCTCAGTCACAGGTCCCCTCCATCTAAGCCCAACAATGGGGGTGGGGGGGCTAAGAGAGCAATTACCCCCAGGCCCTGGAGATGCAAAGGTGCTCAAGCTCCTGGCCACCACCCCTGCTACTGTCACTGCAGCAGTAGCCAAAGCCCTGGTCCCCTTTAAACTGGATTGGAAGAACAGCTTGATGCTTCGGGCACCAGCCTGGGAGCCATTTGATCTTGTCTGGGGCACCGCCTGCATGCTCAGATCATAAAGGGACTCCGGGCTTGGAAACGCAGCTTGCTCTTTAGTAGGAGAACTATTTGCAGAGATGCGGCAGGTCGCATTCCAGACCGACTTCCCGGTACCCCTCCAAACACTTCCCTCCTGCAAGCGATGCTCCTCTCTCCAAGTTCCATGCCGGTTGCTACAGAACTTCATTTAATCCCTGGCCCCAACGTGGCTTGTGGCCCTGGACAAGTCCTGGAGGATGGGGGCCCACGGTGCCTAGGTTCTACGGATTATTTGGTTGTGTCAAGAACAAAAGATTAATTAAAAGAGGCCCTGAGGATTCCAGGGGATGAGAAGCTGGATATGAGTCAACAGAAGGCTAATGGCCAGCAGATCTAGGGAAGTGATTATTCCCCTTTATTTGGTACTGGGGAGGCCACATCTGGAGTGTTATGTCCAGTTCTGGGCCCCGCGTTACAGAAAGGATGTGGACGCCCTGGAGAAAGTCCAGCAATGGGCAACAAAGATGGTTCGGGGGCTGTAGAGAGGCTGAGGGATTTGGGCTTGTTTAGTCTGCAGGAGAGAAGAGTGAGGGGAGATTTGGTTATCTGTAAATGTGGCAAAAAAAAAATCTTTCCTTTCCCCCAGCCTCTGTGAATTGATTGGGGTGGGGATTATTTCATTTTAGGTCTGAACAGCACCTAGTACTGTGAGGTTGAGGGGAGGCCTCTGTTTGTTCCTAGGCTACTGACGACTTCTTGGGAACAGGTAAAATGACAGAGGTTACTATGAGCCCAGCTGTCCGGCAGGATCTGTTGTGCTGGGAAGACTTGGAAGTCTCGCAGTGGGAAGTTTGTTGTGTGGGAAAGCAGATTGCAGTGTCAGCAAGGAGCCATTTGGTGGCACAAAAGAGCCAGCGAGAAAGGAGGGGCCAGCAACCATCGATTGTTTCTCGTAAAGGTCACTTCTACGCTGCAGCTGCCGGGCGTGGTGGGATGCCTCGCCTGTGCCCCACGAGAATGACACAGCAAGAGAGGGACCCAGGCGTTAAGTTTGTTGTGTGGGAAAGCAGATTGCAGTGTCAGCAAGGAGCCATTTGGTGGCACAAAAGAGCCAGCGAGAAAGGAGGGGCCAGCAACCATCGATTGTTTCTCGTAAAGGTCACTTCTACGCTGCAGCTGCCGGGCGTGGTGGGATGCCTCGCCTGTGCCCCACGAGAATGACACAGCAAGAGAGGGACCCAGCCTTTGTTTTTTGAATGAGGTGCTGAATTCCCTGCAAAACCGCCTGCGTCTCTCGAGGCTTCTCTCTGTGGACCAGGGAGGCATCTGGAACCTGAAATCCGGAGATTTTCCACAGCCACAAGGGCCGGGACCACACGCGGCACCGTGTGTCTGAAATCTTCCAAGATTGCACATCTGGGAATTGCTCTGGGCTGGCCCAACCAGGTTGGGAGAATTTGCAACACAGGCCTTGACCGCCGGTGCAAAAAAGCAGAACCGTAGTAGAAGAGTAGCGAAGGGGCAGTTAGAGGGGGGGCGTTTTCTTGCCAAGTGACCCCAGAGGTTTGGAACTCTCGACATTGACTCAGTGACGAACGAGCGCAGAGGATTAACGGGAGCGAGTCTTTCTCTGCCGTTACGTTTGGTAATGAAATCAAAATGAAGATTCACCAAGTTGCAACTAGCAACTAGCAGGGAAGGATTCCGGAGGATGCAAGCCACCGGCAGAAGGAAGTGTGCTCCGGAAATAGAGGACACCTCTGATGTCTTGGCACTGTCTCTGGAGGCGGCAGAAATCAAGACGACAAAGTGACCATCCTCCCTGTGCAGGAATATTTGCTGTCTCGCCTTATGTGCGTGCCTCCATTAGCACGGCCGGCAGAGTATGAAAATCAGGGTGTGGATGGGCAGGAGAAAACAGGGGGGCGGGCAGAAACCCCCAGCCGGGAGGAATATATCTGAATAAGTCCAGTGTGCAGAGATTTGTGGACATAATTTTATCCCACGAGATAATCCCGGGAGCTGCTTTTGGGAGGGGGTAGCACGTCCTAGCAGTAGGCCAGCCTGTGTCACATACCCAGCAGGAAATTAAGTCCTTTCTGCAGCTTCCAACCATGCCTACCTCCAAACCGGGAGTGGAGTACTGGATTGATGGGTCCCGTCGCAACACAGCCCTGGAGGACTTCTACACTATGGGCCCGGAACTGGGAAGGTAACAATTTGGTATTTTATCTGCAGCGGGGGCGAGCTTTGGGGTGCTAGCTCCCGATGGTGCCTCTTGGAGTGGTACGTGACAGATGCCTGTGGGGTCAAGAGCCAACATTGCATCTGGTAAGCCAGGGTGGACAATAAGCAGCCCGCAGGCCAGACACGGTTCACCAGAGTTAGCCCCTGGCCGGCCGCCAGACACTTTATTTACCTGTGCGTCTGCGGGCACGGCCACTCCTGGCTCCTGTTGGCTGCGGTTTCCTGTTCCTGGCCAATGGGACGTGCCAGAAGGCCAACCCGCATCAAGAAACGAGTCCTGCCACAATTCACCAGGCGGTGGGAAGCCTCCTCCATAGCCCCTGGTTCCATAAGTGATCAGGAAAAAGGGGTTCACAGGGAGGTGGCAAAGTTTGCAGATGATGCCAAAAATGACTATGGGCTGGGGACCGACGGGCTAAGCAGCAGCTCGGCAGAAAAGGCCCCGGGGAGTCCAGGGGATGAGAGGCTGGATGTGAGTCACCAGAAGGCTAATGGCATATTGGGGTGCAGTAGGAGCATCGCCAGCAGAACTAGGGAAGTGATTATTCCCCTTATTCCGTACTGGGGAGGCCCCATCTGGCGTGTTGCATCCACTTCTGGGCCCCCCGCTACAGAAAGGATGTGGACGCATTGGAGAAAATCCAGTGATGGGCAGCTAAGATGATTCGGGGGCTGGAGCATGTGACTTACGCCGAGAGGCTGCGGGATTGGGGCTTGTTTAATCTGCCGAGCCTTCAACTCCCTGAAGGGGGGTCCAAAGAGGCTGGAGAGAGGCCGTTCTCAGTGGTGGCAGAACGAGGAGCAATGGGCTCAAGTTGCAGGGGGGAGGTCTAGGTCGGAGATTAGGACAAACGATTTCCCTCCGCGGGCAGGGAAGCGCTGGGCTGGGTTCCCTAGGGAAGGGGTGGAATCTCCACCCCTAGAGGTGCTTAAGTGCCGGCTTGACCAAGTCCTGGCTGGGAGGATGGAGTTGGGTTGGTCCTGCCTTGGGCAGGGGGTTGGACTCAACGCCTCCTGTGGTCTCTTCCTGCCCTGGAATTCTGTGACTCAAGCTACTGAAGTCTGAAGCGGACGTCCAGGTACTACAAAGGGATCCCCCAAAGTGGGGTGACTGAGCAACAAAATGGCCGACGTGATGCCACGTCGATAAACGCAAAGTGGGGCTCGTTAGAAAACAGCCCCCCGGCCACAGAGGCAGGGCCAGCTTTGACAAGCGCGGGGCCCGATTCCGGGGGCGGGGCCCCGCATGCGTCGGGCGCCCGGGAGCGGGGCCCCCTTCCGGGGAATCGGCCGAATCGGCCTAGAGCCGGCCCTGCACATGAGGAAGGGCGTCGCCACCCAGTGCACAGTCAGCCTGTGGAAGTTGCTGCCAGAGCATCTAGCGACGGCCAAAACGACAGCTGGGTTCGCAAAAGAACGAGGCAAGTCCAAAGAGTCCTGTAGCCCCTTATAGACTAACAGATCTGGGGGAGCATAAGCTTTTGTGGGCAAAGACCCACTTCGTCAGATGCATGGGCCTTTGCCCACGAAAGCTTATGCTCCAATGCATCAGTTAGTCTATAAGGTGCTCCAGGACTCCAGGCCGCCGCGGCGTCTGGCTGTCCCGGAGCCTCTCTCCGCCAGATGCTGAAATCGCCCTGTCCGGTTCGTCCCCTCCCAAGCACCCGGCATGGGCCACTGTCAGAAGCCAGGCTAGCACGGGGGTTCCCAACTTTTTTTTCCTCGTGCCCCAATATGTGTGTTGGCCTCTAAGCTGCCACAGGACAGTCACGAGGGTCCCGTTGTGTTTCCCGTCCCCTTGCCGAGACCCTGAGACGACCCTGCCAGGGCTGGGGGTGTCTACGGAGCTGAGATGCTGTGGGCATGCAGGCCTGCTGACAGAGGGGCAAAGGGGACAGTGGCCCCGGGGCCTCGCAATTCAAAAGGGCCCGGGGCTCCCAACAGCTGCTGCTACCGTGGTGAAGCCAGATCCCCAGCCCTTTAAATCTCCACCGAAGCACCACATGGTACGCTCCGGGCAGTGCTAAGAGCTGGTGGAGGCGGGGGGGGG